AAAGCAGATGGCAAAGAGGTTTAGTAAAACCAAAACAAAAAACACAAACACTAAAAAGAGCAACATAAGTTACTAAAACCCAATTCTTACTCGACTAGGAATTCCACTGCAGTATCTTTAAGACTAACTTTCTTCAGCTTGTTCCTGACTGTGTAAGCAGCATTTTCCTGGCAAAACCTTTTTCCACAATGGCATTCATTTAGATAAAGAATTACGCGCCGATCATTAGTAGTGTTTTGGAAATTGACTTTGCAGAGCAGAACTTCCTGGGAAAAGGACAAATACAGAAAACAGTTATGCAACAATACGGATGATCAAAGCTGTATCAGGAAGCAGCTCTGATATTGCTATACCTTCATTTGCTCCCATGATGAATTACTATTAGCAGTAGAATCAAGCACTGCCTTATACGCAGGATTTGACATGGCAGTAGCTGCCAATACTCCAACAGGTTCTCCCGCTTCAAACAGACCTTGATGTCCACGTTCAGAATCAACTCCATATGTGAACTGGACGACTGAGTTACTACAGGTGTTTCGTACAGTTCCATCGTTTGTAATCACGATATCCCGAAGAACAGCCATCAGGTTCTTAAAGAGGGTTCCAGGCTCAGCTAACCCCCTTGAAGAGCGAACAATTACCTCCCTAGCTGCAATTGAATGAGCCATCTCTTCATACGGATCCAGCCCATGAAAGAAGCAGCCCTTCACTATTCCAAAATCACCAGATGAAGAAATCCTGCCATACTTTCTCTTACAAAAGAGGGCCATGTCCTCTACCAGAGTCTTCGTATAGAACTTCTTCTTGTCAGAAAGCTGAAGACCCAAGAAGCCTGTTTGCTGCACCAGCTTGGTGATTGCTGAGTTACTCTTGATGTCAATCAAGTTCCGCATGGAATATGACTTCAGCATAAAGTTAGCAGCCACTTCCTTCACTTTGTGGAGGCTGTTCTCTAGTTGCAGTTCATCTCTATATGATAATCTCAAGCGAGACACCATAGGTGAAATCTCTCGGATTATTAGGTTGTGAATTACATCCATGTCTGCCCTGGACATGGATAAGTCTTCCAAACTTACACTAAAGCCCTCAGCAAACAGACTTTCCATCAATAGAGGCTGCAGTGAATCAAAGAATCCAAGTGTCTCCTTTGGACCCTTCTCCAGGAAGATTGAAGTTACAATTTCATTGATGATGGATGCCATCGCGTCAACCCCGAAATCAAACTTCAGCAAATCACTTCCATCAACCATGAATCTATCTCCTTTGCAGCTCAGACGCTCTGGAAAGGCAAGCTGTAAAATCTGAAAAACTGTCCAAGCTGGGCCAGATTTACTGGACTTCCTTAGTGCTGGTGGTGGCAGAGTCAGAGAGCCATACATAGCTAACTGTTGAGCAGTTGCCTTGTCCAGAAACACCCCCTCCAGCATTACCCTCAAAGATAGTAAAGAATCACAACCCATCTGCAGAATCAGCTGTCCAGTATGCGAGCTAAGCAGTTGCTTCTCCACAGAGAAAAGCTCCATAACCTCTGCCTTAGCACTAAGTGACTGAGGGTAGAAGAGATGGACACAATCACCATCAAAATCAGCACTGAGGGGGCTACACATCAGAGGGTTAATCTTCACGGTGTTGTCTTCATGAACATACACCCGAAGCGCTTGAAGAGAATGTTTATGGGTTGTCGGGGGTCGGTTGATGAACACAACATCCCCATCAATGACCCTGCGATGAACAACCTGCCCGGGTTTAAGCACAGTGTGCCCCTTGGATCCATCCCTTAAAGAATAGGTCGTGGAACCTTGCGTATAACTCAAACACAACTTGTCGTCTACCAACTTTTGTAGATAACCTATATTGTGGACACTAACCCTTTCCTCAAATGTGATTCTCTGCGCAATTTCTATTGGGATCCCTACCTCATTCACGTGTCTGTAAGCATCTCCAGTGATGACGCTACGGGAAGAGAAACCTGAACCCTTTCGGATGAAAAGTGTCCTCATTTTTTGTGTCCAAGCTTTTGAAGATGAACTATCCGAGATCTTAGACACCCCGTATCTCATATCAATGTTTCTTGCAGCTTTTGCAGTACCCCTCACCTGCAGATAGGTATCCACCACTCTAAACATGTCATTGGCTTCAGCCTTATGCGATTCAAAGTTTGTCTCGCCAGACCTAGAGCTTTTTATGGCTATCACTTTCTTAAGGACATCTTTTAGCTCAATTCTGGAAGGATCCTGAATATAAGAATGACACAAATCCAGGGGTTACAACACAAGCCAAAGCATTCAATAAACTCAACACTATTATTTTAGTTTCAACTTACCACTGACATGGAGCTGTAACCATCAGAAACATCTGGCACTGACAAGCAGTTAGGCGGGACAGGAAGATATTCTAATATGTATCCTTCTTGAGGAATATGTCCCTTTGCTGTGAGTTTCTTTCTTGTTTCTTCGGGGATCCGTCTTAAAATTTCCTTTACCTATTTGTTTTCCCAGCATATGGAAAAGGATACGGAAAGTACATAATCATCAGTTTCCAGAAAGAAAATATCTTCTTGATAGAGAATGATTCCAAATAAACAAAAAGAACGTAACCATAAAATCCTACATAAACAGAAACATAAGCACGCAGAAGAAAGTAAAGACCTCTCTTGCCAGCAGGGGTCGCGTATAATCGCTTCCATAGCGATAACCATATCTTTCCAGGAAATTCCAGCAACCCGCCTGCAGTCTTGACCTAGATGGGAGCTTCAGTTCTAGATATGAGGCACCATCTGATGCTCTATCTCTGATTGAGATTTGCGAAGCTTCCTAATAAAGTAATTTAGTAGTTAAAAATCCAAGACATTCAGCAATAATAACATCCAAAATAACATATAAGCAGTGAATGTTTCATGATGTCACGAAAATACCAATAGCTACTGCTTCACAAGCATTGATTAATGTTACTTTCACTGAATGGATCAAAAGAAGCACAATAACTATTTAGATTTGAATTACCACGTTTTCTAACATGCAACTAGTTGAAGGAAAACTTAGACATCTAACTAAATGCTGAACCAGGGTCCCATAAGAAACATCTATCAACTTGCTTTTCAGGTAAAACTTAAAAGAAACAATCAGAATGTAGATGCCATTCCTCACCTCACAACAGACACCCAATAAGCGATCCGCCAGACCACCACTTGTGCTCTGTACTCAAAAAGGTGAATAAGATTGGTCGAGATTTTATATGGTTTATTCATGTGTGGATCACATGGAATTTAAGAAAACTCAATGAGGTAATACCTTTGCCTTCTTTATCTTCAGACATTTCAAGCACAGAAGGCTCAGCATTTGTTTCAACTCATTAACATGAGCAGGATGGTATATTGGCACTGGAAGCTGAATATAACCAAAATGACCTGAAAACGTAGAAACAAATATCGGCATCTGAAGAAGTATTCCAACAAACGATGTAAGAACAAAAACATAGCAAATACGGAACTGGATTACCTTCACATTTATCTGGTTCTGTCGCACCGCAAGATTCACATTTACCAAATTCAAGAGGTAACCCCAAGAATGAGTTAGTGAGTTGACTGGGATGATTGATTGCGGATCCACTAATTGATGCTATACACTGCAAGACAGAATTACAGTCCAGTGAGAAATGGAAGAGTGACAGAGGATATATTGCAGAACAAGATTTATATGCAAAAGTGTAGCACTTAGCATTACACAGAGCTTGAGTACAATTATAGTGAAATTTAGTGCCAAGTTAACCAAAACATAGAGGGTTTTAGCTATTCGCAATCCTTAGTTCTGTATAACCCATGATAAACATTGATGCAGAACAAAATGGATCAAGTCCAGAGAGTATAACTCTTATAACTTACAATTTCATGGTGAGTTGCAAGAGCAAATTTGATTCCAACAATCTCTCCTTCAAGAATCTCTGATGAAGATTCTTCCTCCATGACAAACCCTAAAAATCGAAAACCAGACACCAGCAAAACCGAGTTAGCTCTTATCAGATGTAAACAAACAGAGAAACAAAGACGTTTGAGCTCACTAACTTGATAAAAACCCATAAATTCCCAAAGAAAAATCAAATCTTTGAAAAAAAAATTGAAGAACAAGTTCTCAAATCTGTAAAAGAAACAATTTTTCTACTCGTTTACACAAAATCGAAGCAGTAGTAACACACAGTGAACCAAAAAATCCGAAATTTCAAACCTAGAGTAACCTACATTTGAAACCACAACAAACCCACTACGGAGAAAAAACCCCCAAAACACGGCGCAGTCATGATCGAGCTTTTTCCCCCGAAAAACATCGAAAGATAAGAGTTGGGTATGACGAAAATACCTAAGAATCGACGATTCAGCAGCGTATTTGACCCGTTTTGGTTCCTGAACCAGAGAAGAAACGAAACAACGGGAAACAAGGGTTTTTGCAGGTGAAAAGAGGGAGAAATCTGAGTGAGAGTGAAAATGGCGGACTTTTTCTTTAAAGAGAAAAACCCCAGAAAGAAGATTGCCAGAGAACAATTTTGGAGTGACTCTTTTTTTTCTCTCTCACAAAAATCTTTTGTTCTTCACTCTTCTGCTTCCGTCTTTAAAACCCACATTGCATGCAAAGGGAGAAAATTTTCAGTTTCCTTATTAATTAAACTAAAAGGTATCAACTTTAATTTTTCTTCTCTTTATTTGGGATTTTAATCTAGTCCGCCCCCTGGGCTCAAAATCGATTCCATTTAGCCCCCGTAATAAAATTAATATAGTTAATAGTTTATTTTAGTTCAGAAAAATAGTAAAAGACAAATAAAACAAAGAGTTTTCATTTATTTACGACCCAACCAGTCAGTTGGATCTAGCTCCATCTAACTTTTGGATCTTTTATTCCTAAAATCAAATTCAAACCCTAATTCCCAAATCACTTGTTTTTTTCTTTCTACGACTCTTTCTTCTTCTTCTTTTTTTTTCTTCTTCTTCTTCTTCTTCTTCTTCTCTCCACGACTCTTTCATTTTCTCTCTTCTCTAGATTCCGTCGAGACTCTTTCGTCTTCTTCTTCTTCCCTCTTCACTCGTTTCTATCGATCCAAAGATCCGTCCTCTCTCTTCTTCTCCGTGAGAAATCCGCCCTGAAATCGAGGAATCCGCCGTGAGAACTCCCCGTGTCTTCTCTTTGTAAGATTTCATTTGTGTGATCCCTAATTTCGATTGATTGTGTTGGATTTATTAGGGTTTGATTTCTTCCGATTTATTCCGATTTGAGGGTTTGGTCTGTAATTCTCTTTGATTTTGTTTGAAACAGATCTATTTTGAATGGAATTTCATTTACAATTAGGATATTTAATGATTACAATTCGGATTTAAGATTACGAAATAGGATTTGAATTACCATTCGGATTTGAAATTGAGATTCCTTGAAATTGTCTCTTAATATCCTCGGGTAGGGATAGCCAATGTGACTAATTTTCTGTGTTTGTATTGCAGAAAATAGAGATGGATACGAGTATGTTCGGTTCGTCTTTTGGTTTCTTAGGTTGATAAATAGAAGGAGAAGGCGAGGGAGCATGAGCAAGAGAATGAATATGAGAAAAAGAAGGAGAATAAGATTTGGTGGTTGAGTTTTTAGATACAATTGTGTTCAGTTTGTCTTTTTGTTTCTTATGTTGATGTATAAATTTAAGTGTTTAGGTACAACTGGTACGCTCAGGTACAACTATGTATCTGGGTTTATGATTTTTTGATAAAAAAAAACTATCCAATTATGTATGAATCTATGAATCTTAATCTTAACATCTTTATGTGTGAATATAATCTAAGGGTTTTGATCCAAAAAAAATTAAATATATAAATTTTCTTAAATATCTGACAAATATGTATGTTTCTAAGGATTTTGATTCAAAAAAACACAAAAAAATAATGAAATATCTGAAAATATCTCAAAATATCTGACAAATATCTTACCTGGCGCCGTTATTTTAGAAAAAAAATAATTAAATAGTAGCACAAATTTGCTCATAGTTGTACAGTTGTACTCGGTTGCACATTTTTGCTCATAGTTGTACAATATAGAGAAATTAGTAATTTTAGTTGTTATCAACTCTAAATTAATTTTTGTGGGTGGAACCGATGGTATTGTCTCATCAAAATACCATTACTTTGTATTAGTGTAGTTATATTTATCAAAATACAAGTATTTCAAAAATTTAAAAATTTTTAGTTCAAATCTACAAAGTAACCATGGAAGTATAAGGTTGTTAGTGTATGAATGTGAGATTTTGTGATAAGAATTTCATTAATTTAGAAAAATATGATTTTTTTTGTCAAAAACTTCTTGTGTAGTTTCATTACCACCGAGTATGCATTTTTTAAGATTTTTTAATTTGGTTTTACATTTTCATATTTTATAAAATTCTGAAAATTAAACAATGCAATAGACCTTAGTTGTACGGGTTGTACTTAGTTGTACCAAGACAGAACAATTTAATTTGTATAGATACGACAAAGAAATCAACTAGAGTTGTACCTGTTAAAACTTAGTTGTACGAAAAAGAACAAATAAGTTTCACAACCAAAACCAATACAAACAACATCGCTTCTTAAATCATCCTAATAATGGCACTCATAAATCAACCTTGGTCACCCTCATCGTCCCATCAACGTCCATTGTTACCATCATTGGTAAACCACTCGCCTAAACCACTCAGCCTCTTCGACCTCTTCTTACCTCATTTTCCTCTATGTTCTCCAACGGAAGGGAATCTTGTTTCTTGTCATCTTTTTTGTTTTACCTCATAATCCGGAGGATAGGCAAACTGTTTCATTATCTCCTTTGGAACAATCCATTGAAAATTATGGAGAACCGGATAAATCATTCTCGTATAATTTGGTCTACTTAATTGTACCCAATGATTTCAGTTGTCCCAAATCTGCAATCCCCAAAATTTTCTATCAAAAACCGCATTCAAGTTACGAATTCAATTTTTCTCAATCATATTACACTAAGAAAACAAGTATACTTACCTTAAAGTATGGTGGATAGAGAAGAAGAAGTAAACAACGAGCTTTAATGGTGGATGGAGAAGAAGAAGAAGAGAGGAGATATGTCTTTGGAGATGCTTGAATCGTAAGAAGAAGAAGAAGAATTTGTTTTTTTAGGTTTTTGGATGGAAAAGAAGAAGAAGAGAGGAGATATGTCTTTGGAGATGCAATATTGTAAGTTTTAATGGTGGGTAGAGAAGAAAAAATAAGAAAAGAGGAGAAGAAATATGTCGTAAGAAGAAGAAGAATAATCTCATTTTTAAGGTTTTTGGTAGTTAATGAGAGATGAGAGAGAATGAATATGATTGGTTGCTTTTAAGAATTTGTTAGTAATAAAATTTAATGTAGAAATAAATAGGATAAAGGGGAAGGGTAGAGTTGGTTTTTAAATGTATTGGGAAGGAGAGGGGGTACTGAGAATAAGTGAGGGTTTTTGAAAGAATGTTTGGAGGAAAAGGGGCTAGGGAGATTTAAATCCCTTTATTTGTCACACAATTGAGAGCACTTCCATTAGTTAGAAACTCTATTGAGTATCTGACAAATAAAATAATATTAATTTTTTATTATTTTATTAGTTTATTATTTAATTGTTTATTAAACTAATCAGAAGAAGACAACTGTAAAAATGGGTGTCTCAGAGTTTCTCAAATGAGAAACAGTTTCTGTCCTCTTTCCTCCTTTTTTAATTTTTTATTCTGTTTTATTGGAGAGTGTCTCACCTAGACACTCCCAATGGAGATGGTCTGATAACACTTGGGAAATATGCAATGATAATGAAAATGATTAAACAAATATTTATCCACATATTATGCAAGACCATGTCAACCATTGACAAACCTTTTTGAGAAGAATTAAGGATTGTAAAACCATAGAATTTGTAGTGAAGCAAAACATATGAATACTAGAGTGAAACTATTTTTTCGGATTCGATTTTGGTGTTGTGTATTTGATCGATCGTTATAAATGACCGTTTCCGTTTGCAACACGCTATGTTTGGTGCGAAAAGAATCTGGCGGGAGCGATGTTTTAAAAGATAACGGGTTAATTTATACCAGAAAAAACGGTAACAACTACGTGGATCTACTTGTAAAGAAATATTCGAGAATTTCCTTTTATCCGTGAATATGTAAACAGTTGACCAATCAATTAAAGACATAAAACCGGCTCTTTTGTGCCTTCAAATATTTTTATATAAATTATTAAACTATTTTTTCGATTTTATTTTGGTATAGTATATTTGATCGATCGCCATAAATGATCGTTTTCGATTGTATATTGATGCGATAAGAATCTGACATGAACAATGTTTTCAAAAGATAGAACTTCTTATTTACCTGAAATTACGGTAACCACTTTAAACTTATAATGAAAAGATCGAGAACGTTAAAAATAACTCTTTTTCTTCAAATATATAATTTTGTTTACATATAAATGAAAAACATGATTATAAATTTAGAAAAATATTTTGTAAATAAAAAAAGTAAAGGATAACTCCAAAATGGAGTGACATGTGATATCATTCCATATTCATCACTCCATTTTAGAGTTGAGAATATAGTGGTATTGGAAAGGATTTTTTTCTAAAATTAGAACTGTATTTACAGTAAAATTTGGAATAGAATTGGAGATGCACTTATTGGCTCATCTATATCTATATATACATTTTTGGAGTACATTTAGCAAATAAATCATGGGGTTGGGTAGTATTTACGGATGAATGTTATTGACATTAATTGTTTAGATTTGTTTAATTTGAATAAAGATTTTTAATTTTATTTCGTTACTCAAATTGTTACCAAAAATCTCGCCAAAATACTTTCTAATATCTCGACAAATATCTCAAACATATAAAACAGCATTCAATTATTTTCAGTAATAGAAACAATGTCTTAACTCCATATACGATTTATACTAATGGCAAACACTAATTTCTCTACTAATTAAAACAATCATTAGCGAATCGGGTCAATATATCGGTTCTCGGTTAACTGAAATGAGAAACAAATTAATGGCATATTCTCCAAATTAATGATAAACTAACGTTACCTAAACCAAATCATCATCAATCTTTTAGAGATAAAGTTTGTTATCTCCTAATTTCCTAATCTTCCCTTAATTATTACAATCATTCATTGTGATAACCATTTTTTTTATTCGTATCTTTGATATTCTCATATCACCTAAACCATAAACCTAGACTTCTACCTTCTCAATAAATACCAATCTTTACTCCTCTACTAGATTCATCAAGCAAATATTTTTCTAATCTCATTCCAAACTATACTCGCCTCTAGCAAAAATAGCACATACATCCTTCAAGGTATATTCATAAGGTAATCTTTGTTCTTAATTCAAATTTAATTTTTATGTTTGAGATTCTGTTTTTTTTTGTAATCACATAACTGCATTAACGTGAGTATATCTTAATCTTTCTTATAATCTGCAATGTTTTTTCTTTTCTCATAATATTTTTTTCATTTTTGTAGAAGGGACAAATCCTTCAGATGGAAAATAAAACAATGACTTTCTGCAAATTGTCGTCTGCAAATTGTCGTCTTCAACGGTGACTACACCGTCGTCTACTGCGGCAACTGTTACAACTCCGTCTGAGTCAAGAAGACGTGACGACTCGCTTCTTCAACAATAACATAGTATTCAAAGCGCCATTTTACATCAACAATTTGTTTTTAACATTATTTTCCAAATTTTTTTAATTAAAATTTTGTTTTACAATGAATATTTTCAGGTAAAGATCCGTTGTGTAACCAACATCGTTGAGTGACTTTTCTCTTACGAGAAATGAGATAATATTGAATTTTGTTTGTTTTATTACTTATTAGTTTCAAGAGAATCTCAATGGTTTTGATTTTCTCCCATTAACAACTTTGTAACAATTACGGGTTTTTGTACATATATTTGTAGCTTATTTTTGTCAGAATTGTAGCAGTAAGAGTCGTGGATTTTAGACTTGATTCTCTAAATTTTATTTTATTTTATAAATTTTAGACTTAATTCTCTATATATTTATTAATTTTATCAAGATATAGTAAACCAAAAATCTTACTACTCAATTAAAACTATTATCTATATAATCTGAAAAATCTGAAAACATGTTTATCGTAAACAATATAATATATAGATATGGATTTGTAACTATATATACTCATCAAATCTTTAAAATATACAGCTATATATACTCATCAAATCTTTAACATTATAATTTTAAATTAGCATATAGTCTCACGGTATACCATGAAACAAAACAAGCAATATAGTGTGGGGTAAAATATTCAAGTTTTTAAATCCACCATACATCGTTACTTAATAAACTGTATGTTTTCGCATCTATACATTAAAATTTGAAACCTAAACAATAATAATCATACACTAAATAATACACAGATAGATATCTACATTTAAAAAATACAAATTAATATGATATATCTTTAGTTAATCTTTATAAAAAAAAAATTACATTTCTTTATAAATATATAGCCCCGCGGTGTACCGCGGGGTCAGATTCTAGTGGATTTTAAAAGGGAACAATTTTTTTTTTTTTTTTTTTTTTTTTAAAGGGAACAAAATTGCCTCGATTTCTTTCTATATAAGAGGAATTAATTGGAAATTTTTATTCATTCCAATTTTTGTAAAGTTGTAACCAAACGAAACGATATATGCTTCCTCTCTCAAACGATATACACAAGTCAAACTATATTTGCATTTAAGTTTATATGTACAAATCAAAAATCAACAGAATTTTATGAAATCAAGTTCCGGTTGATATTGGTTCTTGTATTAGTGTATATAGAAGGTATAATTGCAATTAAACCGACTTTCAGATTGGCTATTCGGTTTACTTTAGAGGAATTTGGTTTCGACTTTCGACTTTGGTATTTGGATAAGTGGGTTCGTGTACTATAGTATGAATCATACAACTACTGATAAAGAATATTTGCTTTCTCTACTTAAACCCAAATTATATTTTTTGAGCAAAAACCAATATCTCAAGAAAACCCACACAGAGATGTCAAGATGGGTCGTTTTACCTTTTTTCACCACAATACTATAGCTTACTACTATTTGGCTTCCTAACATATATATCAATTTGTTACTTACAGGAGCTCATGACTCCTTTACTTGTCCCACCTCGTCTCTTTCTTCCTCCTCTTCTGTCCACGTACTTCCCTGAGAAGCTCTTGAAGTTCTTCACAAAGAGGTTCTGGAGTTAGCTGAATGATCTCATCATCATCACCGTCACTATCCTCCTCTGGCTCCGTCTCCTTCTCCTTTGGATTCGTCTCCTCCTCCTCTGGCTCCGTCTCCTTCTCCTTTGGATCCGTCTCCTCCTCAGGATCCGTCTCCTCCTCCGAACTTAGCCATCCACAGTGAAGATTTTCGACACCTAATCAATTATTTTGACCTCAGTAAAAGAATGTTTCATTTCATATGTTGAGATTGTTATGGATATGAGTAGAAGCTTTTACTACCTCCAACAGAACCTTGTGCATAATCTGCTAATGCTTCTCCCAAATGTAAAGCTGCTGGTGATGGGTCCATGACTGCATCGCTATTGATTGATAACTTATCAGCTTGGTCTCTTCCATACTCAATTTGCATGTCCTGCTCCTGCTCCTGTATTACAAAAGATGGATCATGCTGCAAGTTATATACCATTTGGGTAAACCAAGTTCAAGAAGCCTGTCAATGGTTTCTGATAATGCAAGCAAAACGAATCCCAACAATGTAAGCAACAGATTTGTAAACATGCATAGAAGAGAAAGAGAAGGAAGAAAAACTAATCACCTTCTCTTCTTCTTGTTCTTCCTCAGCCAATTGGTTGGGTTGTTCTTCCTCAGCTATTTCTTGGTTTTGGTCCTCAGCCATCTCTTCATCTTGATTCTCAGGCAATTGGTAGGCTTGTACTTCAGCCAATTGTTTGTCTTTTTCCGCTTGCTTTTCAAGGCAGATAGCAAGGAGGGGACCATAGCTATCATCTTCAATCAAAAACCATTGGTCTTCACCATAGACCTGAAATCCAAAGTGGGTAAAGCGTTATTTTCAAGTTGCAAGGAAAATGTTATCAACAAAGGAAAAATGGAGACCCTAAAAGTAACGAACAAACCTCTAACAGTTCCTTAATACTCTCACTGATAACACGCTCATGAAACCCAAAAACTCTCATGCGATCTCGTGCTGCATCCTCTCGCATCAATCCAGGCTTCTGCAAAAAGGCAAAAGAAAAGTAGCAATTTAAAAGCATAGAAAAAAGAGAGAACAGAATGAAAAAAAAACAAGACCACCCGTCAGACTTATTTCAGTTTCTCCCTGAGAATCATTTGAACAAATGAGAAATCCAAGTCCCAAACCACCACCACACTTTTCTGTTTAATCCTCTACGTAACAGTAAAGCTTTAATAGAGGACTCTGTTGAAGCTGAAGGTGCTCTAGATACTCCCACCGAAGCACCCGAGGACAGTGGCCAACTTCCTGCTGCTGGTGACATAACACATCACTAATTATCTCCTTCATCTCCATAGTCATCATGCTACTCTAATGTCTACTACGTCTATGATTTTCTCTTACTTTTCCCCTATACTGTCTAAAAGGTCACACATTCTTACTTGTTACCCTGCATTTTGTTTTGAAAACTCTTTTTATCAAAAAAAAAAAAAACAGTAAAGCTTAGACCTTTCTTCTTCCTCTGGGAGCCATTTGGAGCCATTTTGATCCCTCACAAATCTCTGTAGTTTCTGAAGAAATTGGAGGACAAAAAGTATAAGTCTTTGGGTTAAAATCATACAAAGGCAACCAAACAAGTGATCCCTTTTTTCAAACCTATGTAACAACAAAATTCAACAGTCGACGAAACAAAACAAAAAGTTGAGCTCTTTCCCAAAAATCCCAAATCAGTAACACTAGAGATAAATAAAAAATGCCCTAAATTTCAAACCCAAAATGAAACCAAACAGAATCACAACAAAACCCAGAAACACGAGCTTAGTTTCGCGACAGAAATGACAATGTACTGAGTTATTTCGTTCAAATTTGATAGGGAAAGAGAGAACTTACGGCGGAGAAGATTATATCGGCGGCGACTGTGGAAGGATTCTTAAGAATAAGCCGCCGTGAATCGCCTCCCAAACTGCTTCGTTGATGAATGGAAGTCAAAAAAATCAAAATAAGTAATTAAATAATAAAAATAATAAAGTATTTGTTTGGGTCAACCATGTTCTCTTTAAGTCAAACATTTTTCTTATTGGTTATTACGACTGTTAAAAGAATTTTAGTTGACGTAGCAATACTAATTAAGCCAATGATTTTTATTTTTACCTAAAATAATCTTGCAAATGTAAGACTTGACATTAAAATTGAGATTAATTACAAGTGTACGTATGTGACTTTTTGTGTGGGAAGGTTTATAAGAATGAATGGATGTGATTTTATTTTTAATAGATGTTTTTCTACTTGTTCGAGTTTCAAATAGATCAAATGTAAGTTCGTTATAATCCGTATAGATCAAAACAAGACTAAATATACTTTGAAATTTCTAAGTATATCGTTGGTTAGAAAACATTAAAAACAAATATATACTTGTTGCAAGCAATTCATGAGTAGTGTTACTTGGAAAATGTTTAATTTATTGGGAATAAAACACCAAAAAGAGGAAATGGTACATGTTTAAAAAAAAATCAGAAGTTCATTTGGACTCCAACAATTTGTTGTTGGCTCAGAAACACTCCATTGTCTAATGCGGCGGAGCAAATGTCAGTGATGTGGCTGCGGAGGAGGACACTGATAACATTTAGCAAAGAGACCAAAAGTATCAACTTGTTTAATGAAATTAGTCATACTGGCCCATCCTCCTAAACCAAAACCAACCACCAGCACCCAAACCACCACCAAGACGTTCACCACATACGCACCTCTCCAACCTCCAATCAACGCCGGTGGCTTCTCCGCAGCGTTTTGTCGGGAATAAGCAGAGCGGTAAGTGAGGATGTGAGCGAGTGATGGGATAATGTAGACGGTGAATGTGACTAGAAGTGCACCAACGGCTGAGTTAATGGGACCAAAGAAAGGGAAGATTATGGCTAAGAACCAAATCGGAATCACCACCGGCAATCTTGTTACCGCTCGTATCAAAATGCTATTTGTTTCGTGCATTCCGACCACTTTCTCCCACACGAAATATAGCGGCGTGCAAGCGTACCCGAACGTTATAAACTGCATTAGACACATTATCGCATTACTACATACACACATAAATTTGATAAAAATGATTTGGATACAATAAATGTGATAGCTAGAAATGAATTTGATATAAATATTTGTATGTGTTCATGAGGACACTAATGGTGTAGATCAATGTTCAAAAAACCATATACATTAAAATTAACTTATTAATTATTTCTATTTTATTTGTTATTTTGTTTATCCGTGTTTAATCTTATTCACAAAATGAAAAAGAATTTCGAACCAAAAATAACAAATGTTTATAGAGACCTACCTGGTGGATGAGCATGAGGATGACTGCAGCATCACGCCACAGTGAGTTAGGAAGGAGAGAGAAGGCATTCGCATGGGTGAGAAGCTGATCTCCAAAGGCCCAGTAGACAGAAATGGCCGATGGAATGGTTAAGGTAAAGACATAGAGTGTAGCCATTAGATATATGTACTTAAACTTTCTTGGCTTCCACATTGCATGCATTATCTCCCTACAAATTCAACTCATTAACATTTCAAACGTTAAAAACAAAGCGAAAACAAACAACAAAGGTTTTAAAATACTTACACAGTAACAGCATGGCCACCAAAAGTGTACAATATATTAGTGGCTCCAGTGAAATACAGAACCAACTTGGTTGGACCGGAATGAGTCACTCCTTCGACCTGACCGTGGACCAGAGCCGCGATGGTGAGGTACCAAGCGGTGTAAGTTGTCATTCCAAGACCAAGAAAGGACCATATTCTATAGTTGTGAAACGACGGTATGAACACCGTTGTTGCACAACATGCTCCGAATATGTAAGTCCATGTCCTCTTGTCCAGCTTGTCGTTTATGTAATATATGTTACTGTCCATTATTGTTATCATACGATTAAAATCAAACTCAATAATGTTTTATAATCAACATCGAATAAGTTGAGATCTTAACCAACCTTGCACAAGCGATGAGTTGGATAACAGAACCAAAGAGAAGAAATGTGCAATTGAATGTTAATCCTATTGCTTTCCAATATGGACCAAGCAAACCATCTAACACTTCGAACCACTGCGATTAATGCTTTAACGAGATATAACAATCGCGGGGATTAAAGATCTAACGGTAGAGATTAATTCAAGAGTTTTGTGAGTGTGAACCTGAATGACATGGTTGTTGAAGTTAACATTTTGCTTCTCTTTTCGACTTCTGTACTCAACGTAGAGAACACTGATGAGATAAGCAGTCCAACTTCCCATAAAACCATAGAAGATCTGCAGAATTACACCTGATGCCATTCCCATTTGTGAAAATGAATAAGGTAGTGTCAATAAAACTTGAGCAACCTGCCAACAAAATTAGGATTATCTTAAAATCCATAACATGACCGATATAGTGGTTTAGTGTGTGGAATTTGATTGAATTAAAAACCTGGTTCGATGCACAGCTAAACCAAGCATCATAAACAGAACCACCATGCCATAGAAAGCTCTTCATGCTTAAATCATCTCCTCTCTCTTCAACCTCATTCTCCATTATTCCCTCCTCTGTTTCCTTAATCGACATCTTCAAAATCTGCTTCATAATTCAAAACCAAAAAAGATTGGGAAACTCTGCTTTTTGAGTTTGCATCTTCTATGCATCTAAAGTTTCTACTACAACCAAAAACTCAATGGGTCATTTTTCCTAATGGTGTTATTGGTGTAGAGATGAGTGATAGTAGGAAGAGAGTGAATAACAGTTACCTAATTAATCTTTTCCACTAACAATGGTGCTTCTTCTTCCACCTGCAGAAAATATATAAATCAAGAATAAAGAATTTAACTATTTTTTTAAACAAACTTTGTATAAAAGTTACAAAAAAAAACGTAGAGAATTGGCAAAACAATGATAATTAGAGGGGAAACATTTTTGGAACCTTTAGGACAAAGAAATAAGAGAGAATCTCTATTCCTATGTGATTCTTCTATCTCTCTGAGTCTCCTTTGTCTTTTCTTTCTCGGTTGCTGATTATCCTCTTTCTTCTCAAAGAGGTCCCAGAGTCGTTTCAAAAGTAAAGAAATATTTTTATGATTCTTTTTGGTCAAAATCAAAAAGAAAACACCGTTTTTGTTATACTTATTACCTATCATTACTTGTAAATTAAAGAAATATTCGTATTTGCTTGTAAAATACAATCACACAGGTCATACCGTCATACTGTTATATTTCCATAAGTTTTGGATTTTTTATTTTAAAATTTATATTTATTTCTTAGAAAATAAATTTTTTTCCCTGAATACAGGTTTTAGAGCTTAGATTACGGTCAACTTTGTGCCAACAGTTTCCGGTTTTAACTTTTTTGAAATAATTGTAATCATATTTATAATTTTTACAAAAATGGAATATGCCATCATGTTGAGCTAATTATAATTTAATTTTCCGTTTTAATGACCTAAAACTAGAGTTACAGTTTTGTGTTAACGCTTAAAACAAATCTGAATTTTTGATTTAACTTTTTAGTATCTTTTTAATATTTGTAGGGTATGAAAGAAATAATAAGCACTCCCTATCTTCTTTTCTTTTCTACAACTTTTTGTATTGTCATTATTACGAATTGGTTCATATTTCTCTGTCTTTTTCTCTCTTTTTACGAAGAAGTGTTCATATAAATATTTGTTCTGTATTCAATCTTTATTGAAAATTTTGGTTAACGTGTGCGACTGAAAACCATTTTTTTTTAACTAGCCAATATTGGATACAATCAAAATATGACTGATTGACTATAGATTATTTTCTTCGTTTTAATTTATTCCCAAACAGGCACCTTATTAGTTATTTACACGACTATAACAGTTACAAGATGGACTCAGAGTGAGAACTATTGAGAAACAAAAACGTGGCTTGTTTTTAGAAAAGGTTTAGGCTATAAATACTCACTTAGTCTTTCATAGTAAAAAGCTACTAATTTTCGTACATTAAACAGTCCAGAATTCATTATACTTTTCTAATCTAAAAGTTAATTAAATACACCAGAATCCATAACAATTGCAATCATGGTTTAAATTCAAAGAGTGTCGTCCTATATACATATCACCATCATCATACCCTTCTTTCTAAAAAGCGAGCCTTCACACTTTAACGTACGATTGATCTCTAAAAATTCTTCACTAGTGTAGTGTTTATATTTTGGCTAACTTTATCAGAAAAAAGCTTATACAAATGAACATATATATAAGAAAAAAGTAGAGGCTTTACTCAAATCGTATAATTGGTTCTCATATCCTTTCGCATGAGAATATTACCATTTATAAGATATGGCCAAATGGTATGACTTGGCTACCTAACTCGTGCCTCTTTGATGTGCCACACTGATTATATATTAAAATTGCATAGTCGTGATTATACACTGTTATGCCTTGTTATCTTCTGCATTCCAACACATCCAC